TCTCTTCTCTTCTCTTCTCTTCTCTTCTCTTCTCTTCTCTTCTCTTCTCTTTCTCTCTCTCTCTCTCTCTTTTGTCCCTCTCCCACTTGCGTGTGTACACGCATGCTCTCTCTCAAAAAAATAAACTTCAAAAATTTTTTTTAATTAATTACTTAAATAAACAAAGAGAGCCCCTATAAGTAGATTGGGAAGGATTCCCATGAGGAGCTGTTTGATCAAAAAAGATGAAAAAATGCATTTATAATATGGTTCCATTGTAGTAAAACAATGACGAAACAATCCTGTATAGGGGTGCATTTCCATGTATATATACTGTCAGTGTAGAAAAGTGAGTGTGGAGAAAAACACAGCAAGATCTAATTTGAGGATCTGTGTCAGCTATATCCTAGAGCTGCGATGTATAGGGAAGGTACTGGAAGGAACTGGAGGGAAGCAAACTCAAAAGCAGAAGAAAAAAGCACTGTACTCAAGGTTAAAGCATATGGGCTTTAACACTTTCACACTTATTGTTATAAAAATTATGTATAACGGTAGGCATATGTTTCAGAGAATTAATCTGAAGAGTTTTTCTATACTCAAAAATAGCCAGAAAAACCCAAAGAAGAAAATAATGGCTCCAAGGTTTCTGCCTAATGATCTCATGCAACCATTTTTAAAAATGAAATTGGCCTTATACACTTGGGAGTTTTCTAAGTATGCTTTTGAACTTAGAAGTCCACTTAAGGGTAAGCCCTCCATAACAGTACCTTTATCAACAGATACCAGTATCTCATTCAGGAATACACCTGTTCATAAGTCACAAGGTTGGAATGTGCCTGCAGGAACACTCTGAGTCACCAGTGGCTAGGAAATCAGAAGATGCAGGTGAAAGTCCTGGCTTGTCCAGCAAGTCTTTACGAGGACGTGAGCAAGTAGCTCATCTGTTGGATCTTAGTGTTTCCACCCATAAAACGGGGGTGGAAAAAAACAGGGCCCACACAGTCCGGCCCTAACACTCTATGAATTCTTCCTGATCTTCTTTGCTTGAAAAGCCCCAGGAATATTTGTTAATTTAAGTGTAATTACAGATTCAAAAATTAGCACATTTCAGAGAAAGCAGTCCCTTTTTTCTGATCACTAAACCCCAGAAGCCACCATACCTTTAGGAATAGGTTGGGAATGCTTTGCTCCGTGGTCCAGTTTGAAGTCCAAATATAAGGTTGGTGTGCGAGTGTAAATCTTAGACTGAAAAGGAAAAGGAAACCATCAGAATCTTTCCAAAAATAAAGTTCTTCTTCACTTCAGCTGGGCGCTTCTCTGATGGGCCTGGGGCCTGGATGACTGTATTAACAACTCCTCCTTGGCAAGTGCTGTTAAAGCAAGGGGATGGGCTACCATACAGGCCCCTCTGAAGGGTCTTCATCTAAAAGTTAGCCCTCCTAGCTTTACAATATGGTTGACAAACTAATTTCAGGATGACAGCTATCTCCCTCTAACCATTTCTCAAATAGGGTCCCAGGTTAATAGTTTATTGGCCAAGGCTTGCCTCCAGCCTTCCACTTGATAATAGCAGGGTAGCTCATGTCCCATTGTGTGCTTTTTCCCCAGGTCTCGATGAAGCCATGTCCATTAAAAAAAATTTTTTTAAGTGGCCAGTAAATATTTGTATTTGTTCTAACTCTGCCCTCAGGCGAAAAAAGGTCATCCGCCACCACTGGCTTGAAAAAGCCACGACTTCAAATGCAAGAAAGGCCAACTTCTGCAAGATTTTCCACTGTAAACAGTGGCTTTGATTCCATCAACAGTTAAGCAGAGTTTGTGAGCCGATAGGATACCATGTTTTGAATCACTGGCACAGACCAAAATCCAAGGGATTATCGCTGTTGCTATGAACTTTATGATGTGTCTCACTGTTTATCACAAAGCCCTGGTGGTTCTGTTTGACTTTTTAGAAACTGAAAACACACACAAAAATGAAAAAGCACGTAACACCAAATGTGGCAAGGATGTGGAAAAAATGCAGCTTTTCATACACTCCCGGTTGGACTAGAACTTTGTATAAACACGGTAGAAAGCTGCTTGGCAGTACACGGTACACGTGAATGTATATGCATGACCTATGACCCAGCATTCCATTCATATGTGGACCCTCAAAAGAAATGTTCACCTAAAGACAAGTATATGAATCTTCATAGTGATACTGTCAGTAACAGCCCAAACCTGGAAATATTCCAGATGTCTTTAACGATAGAAGGGATAAATGAATTGTAATCTACTTACACAATGAAATACTATATCGCAAGGACAGTGAATGAACCCAACTATATGCAACGACTTGGATGAATTTCACGATCATAATACTGAGCAAATGAAGGCAGATGATCATATACCATATGATTCCATTTCTATAAAGTTCCAAACGAGGCAAAACTAATCTATGATGTCAGAAGTCAGGAAAGTGGTTACCTTGGGAAGCTTAGTAACTGGAAGGTGTTAAAAAGGGGACTCCTGGGGATGAACAATTTCTGCCTCTTGACCTAGCTTCTGCTTCCATGGGCATGTTCACTTGGTGAAAATTTTCTGAGTTATACACTTGATTTGTATACTTTTCTGTGTCTATTATTATATTTTAATAAAGAGCTGTAAATAGACTGTGTAAATAGACCAAAAGAGAGAATCCAGAGCCCACAATTATTCACTACCCTTGATAAATGCATCATTTTGCAGAGAATAATTATGTAAATGCTATGAGGACAGGAACATGGCTGCCTTTTTCACCCAGGGCCAACCCACGCTGCCTATCACATAGTAGGTCTTCAATAAATAGTTATTGGCTGACTTTCATAATGGAAAATCCCATGAATAATAAATTTATTTACAGTATACATAAGGTATTCATCAGTATCTTTACCTACCTGTAGCAAAATGCCTCTCTTCAGGACACGTGATTTGGTATGGTTAAATTGTATGTCTATACATTAAATTTTGGAATTACAGAACTGTAAATAATGCTATCAGAAGACTGTTTCCTTTCCTATGAATGTCTCATGTATTAAAGCTTCGGGCTTTAAAAGTTCTGGCAGGTGGATTTATGTGGCTTAGAAGGCCACGCTGCATCAATACAGCTTCAAAGACTACAAAAGCAAATGCCCCTGTGCACACATAAATAAAACCAGAGAGACCTATGGCATCAAGTACAACCTCAGGCCAAAGACTCACAATCAATCTGAAGACCTTGAAACACATAAAACAAGGGCAGCGCCCATGGGACACAGGATCAAATTCTCTACGACCCTTAGATGTATATGGCACCATCTGGAAAGGATCTGGTTTTGTCTGATGAGGACTTCTAAAATTACCTCTAAAAAGATCAAGCGTAGGGGTGCCTGGCTGGCTCCATCAGTGGAGCATGCGACTCTTCATCTCAGGGTCATGAGTTTGAGCCCCACGTTAAGAGTAGAGATTACTTAAAAAAAATTTTTTAATAAAAAGATCAAGGGTAAACTTCATCTAATATCGATGACTCCCCTGCCCAGGCAATATTTGGCTCTCTTCTAGAAAAAGAAACCCTGTTTGGTTTAAGTGTCTTTCCTAACCTCTGCTTCAGTGGCTGATGCAGTATCCCTGCCTCCAGCCAAGAGATTAATCACAGAGAGTCTCTTGGTTTAATTTTCACTAGAATTCTCCCAGAATGTAGTCATAATACTCTTGAGCTGGAAACCTGGAGGCTTTGATGCTAGCATGGCTTTTCCTGCTGACTAGCAAAGCACTTATCTTCTTCTGGGCTTAGTTCACTCATCAGAAAATCCCATGATAGGACTCACTGACATTTAAATTCATTGCTGGTTCTAAAATCCTGAGTCAGAAAATTAGTGTTTTCCCCCACATTTTAATTTTGAACATTCCCTTCTGACTTCTCAGACTAGAGCTGTCGAGAAGGGAGAATGTGGCTGGGGGCAAGGAAGGACAACTAGAACTGTGTTAAGTAAGAAGGGGGCCACTGGTTAATGGGCTCTACTCTTGCCCTCAAACTCAGTCATCAGTCTTGCTCCCCTGGCTAGCTCTTTTGCCATCCTTCCTGCCTCTAGCTTCTCAACCTGATCCATACTGTCCAAATACCAGTCACCTCTCTAAGACTGCAACGACACAGACACACATGTGTGCATACACACACAGACTTCTGTATTTATGTACTCATTTACAAAAATTTAAACAGAAACCAACGAGAGACACTATAAAGCCACAGATAAAACCTACCATCTTACAAGTGTGAAAAGGGCTAAAGGGGATTTTTTTTACTCATTTTTAAGTGTTTTCCACATCTATAGCCTAAAACAGAATTCCAATTCTAATATCCTTTTCTGTACTGAAAATGGAAACATTAAAGGTTTCAATACAACACATCTTGAATAATCAATACCCAAAACATAAATGTACACTGTTCTATTTCAATTAATCCATAATGAGATAAAATCAATTTGGAAGCTGTCCCCATGAGTGGGGGTATAGGTGTATACACGTATATATACATGTACATATATATAGACACACATATCATGCGTTATATATACGCATAGTTTTTGAAAAGCAGATAGGTTTTTAATTTTGACCCTCCGTGGTAACTGTTGAAATAGCAAATGTAAATTATGTTCATTTAACACAAGGATAATGCTAGCCTCGAATGCACTTTGAGCAAACCTAGCACATTCTTAACTGTGTTCTGTTTTATTGTTATGTATAGTGTTAAACTATTAATATGGTCCTCAAAAACAGAATGAGAATTTAATTAAACAAATCATTCTTTTTCTGGTTAAAACTTAGCTATAATGTGTATCTATTAAAATAAATCGGTCCATGACAACCTAAAATAAAACATTATTCCATAAATCTGTTTCAGCATGAACAGAACTAATGCACTTCAAGTCCATCAGTGAAATTGTTTTCTTTTTCCTTTTCTCTGTTTTGGTCCTGATCAATAGTGCCTGTACAGGGACTAAAATCCAAGGCTATTCCTCTTTAGTCTTTCTTCTCATTTCATAGATTAAAAGTATTTAGGAAACTTATCTTTGAAGGTTTTAGTCTGCATTTGAAAAATCAAATGTCTTAAAAATCTTAGATTTCAAATATGCAGGGAAGGGAACAGAAAACTCTTCAGAAAAGGTTAAGGGTAAATTCTGGCTAGCCTAGACCAACAGGGGTGGCTCCCCAATCCAGACAACCTGGTCTCTCTTTCTCTAGAAATATGTCAGAGTCAAACCTTTAACGAACCTAACATACCGCTCCAATAATGACCACAAAACACCCAAGACCAAACAAGATCTCCGAAATCACTTCCTTCCGAACCCCAGCTACCTTCATCTTCTATCCTTCAAAGACTTCCTGCTTGCCCTGGCTTTTAGCATGATACCCTTGTCGAGCTGGCTTCCTGCCTGTACGTTCATTCGTAAATGTGATCTTAATTAAGGAGATGAAATCACTTCCACATGGAAGCCATATGGCTCAAAAAGTCTTCCCAAGAAAGAGAAAAGAGCACACTGTTCTGGCTGTGCTGTGTGAGCATGGCAAAGGGCATCTCTCTCATTTTGCCTCTGCTCCTTTCACAGGTAATCGGAACCCATCTATCCCTGAATGCTGCTCATTTTGCCACGGTGCTGGCCTTCCCTAAAAGCAAGTGACAGCAATGTGTCACATGGCAGAGCTGTCAGAAATAAATGCCCATTTCTTTTTGGGCATGATTTCAAAATCCTTTTATGATTTGGTGATTTCTCAGGAAATGCACTCAAATCCTCAATCTTACTATACGTTGCTTAAGCAGACTCCTCTAAGTAATTGTACCAACGAGTGTAAATCCTCAATATCCGAGAAGAGAAAGAAACAGTATTTTCCTTCTACCTATTCCTGGACCCTCACCCTCATGTTGGATAATCTCCCTACTGTCAGAGATCATGTTTTATGGTTTGTTTGGGCCTTCTTTTTTGCATCATTGCTAACTTTTGATAAATATCTTTGCACATAAATCTCTGACCACATTTCTCTTTTTTTCCCTTCAAGGTGAAATTTGGGGCCTGAAGGTCTAGACATGTTAAGGGCTCTTGGTGTATCTGTAGGTTTATGGCTAAATGTGATGTGGCCAAAAGCAAACTGGTCAACACAATCAAGTGATTAAACAGCAATTTTGCTGAACATGCCTACTGTTAGTCATTGGTTGTTCTAGTCTTCGTAATTTTGCTATACCACAGAGCAGT